AAATTTAAGGAAATTTTAATATTGGAACATCGATAACTTACTTAAATAAACCAAGAGAAAAGAGTGTTTGCAATGGCTGCTGAAGCTACTGGAAGGGCATGTTTGATATCTAATAAGTTACGTGAAATGGCTTAGAAAACCAAAATTGTCATTCTGAGCACATAGATCTGAAACAATATCTTAATACCACCTTTGCTGATGAAATGCTACTATCATTCTTATTAGAGCCAGAAAGTGACAAGAAATCTCTTTATTAGCATTACAGTCAAAAGGTATCTGTGAATATTTGGAAATTAAATTTTAAAAAATTGTAAATGCTAAAAAAAGAAAAGAGAACCTAAATAGGTTTAGTTGATCTGATTGCACTGCGAATGAGTAAATACCTAGAACAGCTTTATCGTGGGAAACTTTACACTCTTAGAAATAAACAGGAACCTTAGCAGACTCTAAGCAAATGCAACCTGAAGTCAGGCATGGCTTTTATGTTTATTTGTTTGTTTGTTTGTTTACACATAGACATATCTGCAGTGTCTATTCCAGATATAGTAGATAGCAAGGATTCTGTTGAGTGAATGAATGAGCCATATTTTCAATCTTTAGGTAGGAAGAATGGTGGGGGTGGGGTGAGAAGATAAAGTAGATGACAAATTTAAATGAGAGGTGGTAAGAAGTAACCGAATACAGTTTTCTTCAGCACCAGGAAAATTATTTCAGTTGCATGTCGTTTCTCCACATTTTCTAATGGACCCTGGTGGAGCGTGTGGATCTCCTGCGTTCAAGAACTGATCTTGTACTTATGAGTTTTGGGACTCTGTGCTCTCTGGATCTGAGTTGCTTCTGTAATAAACTAGGTATGATAGCATGTTGTAAACACCAGATAAAATACTACCTGTAAAAATATGCTGTAAACTAACAAACATTGTACAGTGCTACGGTGATATTATCACAAATAGGACAGTACTGCTTGCTCTGCTGTTGAAATAAAAGACCTGATTAAAAAAACACACAAAACAAAAACAAGTAAATAAAAAAAGAGGAACCACCGAAGCTGTACTGTCAATAACATCTGCCAATATTTACTGTTCAAAATATTAAGACAGAAATGTTCATATGTATTCCAGAATCCATTTAAAAATTGTAATAGGAACCCATTATATCACGGTAACATAAATTTCAAATGCATATGAAAAATATCTTTTCTATACGAGCATAAAGGAGATTGACGTTGCTTCAGATACTTAAAAATCCCTTCCATAACCCGCCTAACACAAGTCAGACGGATTCTTCTATCAGCTTCTGCACTTTATCTGTTGCCATATGACCCATAACGAACCTCTGGAAAATTCACCACACGCTCATGAGAGAATGAGAGAGAAAAAGGTAAACATCATTATGAACCAAAATAACCCCCATTGAGGCGGACCTACAGAAATATCTAACAGAAATGACCAGCGTAGGAAAGCCAAGAAAAGCGGCATGGTTAAGCAGAGTCCACAGTTGTCCAAGGGAAAAACTGCACTCAAATATAGATGAAAGCAGTGCCGATCATGTTTGGTTCAAAGTAAAACGACTTTAAATATCCACAGAATGCCACAACGAGAACAAGAACTCTAGGGTTTGTCCCACTTTTTAAAGCCTACAGGCCTTTTCCCGCCAAGTGAGGTGGCTCTGAAAAGAGCCTTTGGTTTGCAAGGTGGTCAGGTGGTCTGGAGGCAGCTCACTGGCAGACGGTGTACCTGATGATGGCTTTGGTGGCCTCGGACTCGGCGTGCTTGCCAATCTCCCCGGGCAGCAGCAGGCGCATGGCTGTCTGGATCTCCCTGGTGGTGATGGTGGAGCACTTGGTGGAGCGGGCCAGGCGAGAGGCTTCGTCGGCGATGCACTCGAACATGTCCTTAACGAACGAATCCAAGATGCTCACGGTCTTCTGCGAGAGGCTCAGGCCCTCGTGAACCTGCTTCAGAACCCTGGGGAAGTAGGCGGCGAAACTGTTGGGGCAGCGGCGGCATTGGTGCCTTGGCTCCTCGTGCTTTGGGCTCTTCAGGTCCGCTGCTGTAGGTTCCTCCGTGCCCGGACATTCCCCAGAAGAAGTCTCACAGCCAGGCTCAGCCACGTGGGGCTCGCCTTCCCGACAGCTTGGATGGAAGGACGATGGCGGCTGCCGAGGGGGGGCCGGCCCATTTACAGTCGCTGCGCTTCCTGACGTCACGGGCAACCTCCATATCCGATTGGAAAAAAGGCAATGCAGGGAAGCGGGACTCTATGCCAGGCCGTGTCCAATATGATGGCATACCCTCGAGCATCACATCACATCGCACAATCGGAGAAGGAAATCCGGTGCCCTCTAAACTTGTTGGGACCTCGGGCAGAAAATCAAACATTCCATTTCATTGTGCAGTTTGCTGATTTTCAACATCAAAACAGTAACAGATCTTAGGAGAGTCCTGTTTTTATTGGAATACTTTATATTGCACATCATTACCTTATTTCTGATAAGCAGTAAAGTGCCATTGGATCAGGACATGCTAGGAACCAGGATGCTCTGGAGACCCAGAGTCAATGTGTCCATCTCTTAAAATGACACCAAAGATAAAGTGGTGGTGATGGAAACACATGAGTACATAGGGAGAGAGGAAGAAAATGATGCCTGTGTTTAAACAGGCATGTGTAACAGGAGGTAGCAATATTGGAGCACCTTCCCTTTCTATTCAATGCTTTGGTGGGGGGGGCAAATTTTTTGGCAGGTCGGGAGCAGCACACAAGAAAGAGACGCATAAATTGGACCAGTCCCTTTTCATTTATCTACCCAAACAGTATATTAAGAAGTTACAATTAAGAGGTGGGGGGGGATTTTAACTGGTCATAAGTAATTACACATCTCATAATAGCTCCTGGTGGTGCTAGTTTGTAAATGCTGTAAGGAAGGGCCAGCAGAATGGGATAAACCAGAGCTGAATCTTATTTCGCCATGTTTTCTGCACAAAGCGAGAGGCGAGGGTATGAGATTTGGTGTGGTTGTCTGTGGAACTGCTGAAATGCCTGGGGCCCTGTAATCCTTCAGGTGTGTCCACAAGAGATAACCGGAGATCCCAGAAATTCTCAAGCAGAGCTCTCATGTGCGTGCCTGGCCTGCCCTGGTGGGGCAAGACCAGAGTAGTGCCCAGTAGTGCCCAGAGTAGAATGGACAGAAAGTCAAGGAGCCACGAATCCCCAGCGAGCCTCTATTCTGTCACAGTCAGTGGCATACCCTTTCTTTTTTCTTGCCAAGCAACCAGATGCTGATCTTCACAGATGGCAAAACCACTACTCACAAATAAATCAGAAGAGGCCTGGGCACACAGGCCAGTTTGTCAGGACCGGTTTACTTACCTTTCCAAGTCACTACTATCATTGTCAGCTGCTCAGCCTAACCCAACAGGTGCCACTACAGGAGAGGAGAGAGAGAAGGACGAGTCCCAGAGGGCCCATTCCCAGTGTACCGCCAAGTCCTCTTCCTCCTGACAGCCTGGAACCTGCAGCTACCACAGATGGGTCCCCCTGAAGATCCTTTCCCCTCTTCTGGCTTTCCAGGCATCGTATCAACTAATCAGAGTTGGTATTAAGCTTCCTGTTGCCTCTCTCAGAAGTACTACAAAAACACGCCAGTGAGAAGAAAGGTCAACCAACAACACGTGTTCACTGATGCCCCAGCAGGGGAGCTTCGGGAAGACTTCACCAGAAGCACCAAAGATTGTAGGCTTTTGAGCTTTGGCTTACTGAGACAGTCTGACCTCCATATCCCAGGCCCCTAGTTCTAGAGGAATGACTGGCCAATTTGGGGCCATTTCTCCTACTACTCAGAATGGACTGTTGTCCTGGGATAAGCCACCATGGCTTGGGCAGGAACTCTCACATGGCCAGCAAGTGCTGGTGCAGATCAAGAGACATAATTGACGAGCCCCTGCCCCAAGTTCTGACCAAGACCCTCAGGAGAAATGGCAAAGACCATAGTCTCCAAACACAGCACACAAAGAGGTAGTCATACAGATAAAAACACCAGAAAGGTTTTTAGTGTTTTTATCAGCATTTGCCAAGTTTCAAATTGTTTTCTAAACAGTAGTTAGGTTGTAAAAACAACACCCGCACACTAGAATTGCTGACAAAATATAAGTGCTCTTGGCTGCAAAACAAAAGAAAACAAAACAAAACACCAATTTACCCAAATTGTCTAAGAAACCACCAGAGGGACCTATATTACTCCACTCTTGTTGATCAGACATTGGATGTGGCCATCAGGGGAAGTCCCAGAGCTCCGACAAGGCAGTTCTCTGTAGTTGAGGGAGCGCCTAAAAGGGGTAATGGCTGAGGACTGCCAGCTGACTGCACTCTCAGCAGCTGAAGCAGAGTCTGTCTTTGAGGAGAGCACTGGTTAGAACATCTTCATGTCTATGATAGCCTCATTATCAAATGATAGTCTGGCTACCCAGCAACCGTAGTTTGACAGTGGTTTTCTCTCAGCACTAGCTTTTGGCTTCCATTTCTTGGTGAAAAGAGGTATGTTATCACATTATTTGGTATTCCATTTTTAGGCACCGTGCCCTGTTGTCTGCTATCTTGCTCTCTATGCTTATATCCTGGCTACTACTATCTATCCACGTGTGCTTCCTGAATCCGGGATGTCATGGCTGCCTTAATGATTTCACCTGCACGCGACCACCAGCGTAATCCCAGGGTAGTAGTCTACCATCAAATAAGGTCACATTTAGAAGAACGAGGGATCAGGAATACAACATATCAATTATGAGAGCACAAAGTTCAACCCATAAGAGTCAGGCCTCTCGCCCCCCAAATTCATGTCTTCACGTCCACAATGCATTCGTCCTATGTGAATGTTACCAAAAGTCTTTGCCCATTCCAGCATCAATGCAAAGGCCAAATGTCCTCTAAATATCCTGTACACCAGATAAGCGTGCATTTCCAGCTCTGATTAATGCTGAGGCGTAATTCCTGCCCAGCTGAGAATGTGTGACGGGAGACAAGAAGTTACCTGCTTCCAAAACACAATGGACGGACAGGCACAGGACAGTCATTACTCTTCCAAAATCAAGGTATTGGAAACGGACAAGAGTTCGTGGGCCCAGAGCAAGTTTGGGTCCTAGTAGGAAACATTATATTAGATCATAAGGATGGAAAAGAATCCTCTCTGGCTCTAGGACCTGAGGTCTGCTCCCACAAGGGGTGGCAGCCCCACACTCTCTGCCATGGGAAGTGGCGGCCTCCCACCTATCCAGGGCTGCTGCAGTACCTTCTTCTGACGGCCAGGTGTTCCTAACCTTTGGAA